TCCGACTCTCTCTTCAGGTGTGCCTCTTCCTCGGCATTAGCGGCTGCGTGCGCTCTGGTCAGGAGCTCCTCCAGGTCTCCAGGTGGCTTCTCGGCCAGCTTGTAGAAGAGCTCCTCTGTCCTGAGCCCGTTCATAAATGCGGCCATCACCACCTTTTCGTCCCTGTCCCTGATATGCAGGCTCTCCGTGTAGAAGCGGGCCATGAAATTCCTCAAGGACTCGTCCGACTTCTGCCTAATCGCCATCTGGTGAGCCGCGTTCTTCGAATAAGTCTTCGAAAAGACGAACTGGGCGACAAACTGCCGAGCCAGTTCGGGGAAACTTCGGATGGACTCCGGTGCCAGACCTTGGAACCAGAGCCGGGCCCTCCCCTTCAGAAACATGGGGAAGGTCTTGCAGCGGATTTCATCTGCTGCGGTCTGCAGACGCATGTGCGTCAGGAAGACTGAGAGGTGGTCCTCCGGATCGGTCGAAGCGTCATACAGCTCAATGTTCGGGATCTTGAACCTCCAAGGTAGCGGGTAGTCCTCTATCCTTCGGGTAAAGGGCGAGGCTGTGTAGTTGTCTTCGTACAATTGCGGCCGTAGGATCTGCTCGAACTCATCCCGGACAGGCTTCCACTGGGGAGGGTCCCGTGGCCGGCTCTTGATAGATCGGGCGGGGAACGTTCAGGCTCGTTCCGCGTAAGCTTCCACGAGGAGGGATTCCTTGGTCGGCCCCCAGCGGACCGGTCGCGAGAATACCTCTCGCTATCCCCGACCACCGAGGTCCGCGGCCGAGGGGGAGTCCATGGCCGTTTCCTCTTGCGGGGCTGGTCCCGTGACTCATCCTCTGAGGGAACGGGAGCTGATTCCCTATCTTTCCCCTTCGCCTTGGAGGTTTGTGCGCCCCCGGCCTCGCCCCCCTCCTTTTCTTGGTGAATTATGTCCTCCAGCATGGGGAGGTTCTCCGTTACGAACTGGAGGATTTGCTGTTTCCGCTCTCCTGAAAGGGCTGAGACCCCTCAAAGCGGATTTGCTGTCTCCGCTTGCCGAATTATGTCCTCCCTTCACCGGGACCCCTCGCCGGCTCCGAGATCGGTGTTCTCCATGGTGCACTTGGAACGCGTTCTCGCCATCAACACAACTACACGTACCTTTCGGTTCCCACAGACGGCGCCAACTGAAGAAGCGCTGAGCTTCCCCGGACCGAGCTGACCTGATGAACTCGACGTGCTGATGAGAAGAGCGTGTTCCAACCCTGTAAAACAAACAAAAGGTGGTCCCTAGGGTGACTAGCAGCGGAGCCCCGAGGTTGTCCCCGAGGGCACTCCAACGGTCAAGTTAGTTTTCCGATGAGTAGAGTTCCCAGAGATTAAAGCTGTTGGGAGTGTGTGGCCAATAGTTAGCGTACCTTATGCAGTCGGTGTGCGTTATTATTTATACCTACTTGGGAGTCCGACCTCCGTACGTATCGGGACCTGCCCGGGATAGTTTCAATCCCACGCTGAGGGGGATTCTTCCCGCCCTCTGCGGGATCATTTCCTGGAACCCCTTGGAGCCCTAGCAGCGGAGTGCCCCGGGACGGTTCCCATGGGCCCGGGGTCTAAGCCCAACTCCGGCCTCCCTGAGCTGCCACGTGTGTAGGCTCAGGACGGGGCCTCTGCACCTTCTCTTCCATTTCGACTCGAGGATTTGAACAAGCTGCCCCTGACCAGCTCAATTTATTGCCACCCGTGCTTCTAGCAGGCCACCTTCAACATCTTGAAAAGGCCTGTTTTGCCACTGTTTATGCTCATTACTGTTGAGATAGTTTCAAGTGTTATAAGCCCAAGCAGACACGATCTAATCTGTTGCATAAGAGTAATTGCTAATCCTTTAGTCAAAAATTACACGGATGCACCAATGTTAAAAAGCTTGGAACTTTTTTCCATCAAATAAGTCTATAAATCTAGAAATCATCTAAATACATGACATCAGATTTTAATTCTCGTTCCTTGCTTATCCAATGCTGCCAGAAATCAAAGTCATTCAGTGGTTGCTATAAGTGAAAAAATCATATAAAAACACTGCAGCAACACAAATCGCTGCAGCTTTTAGTATTTGAAGATCTTGTTCGGCTTTTAATTTCCTTGAGCTTCACAGCCACTGGACAATTAGAATGCAAGTCCTGTTATATGTTCCTTTTCGTTTTATATATATGTGTTTTTTTTTGGTGGTTTGCAAAGCTGATTTGTAGATCTTATTAACCAAGGTATGTAGTGCTGCCGCCAGGAGGGGGGGACCTCAGTATACATCAGAAAAGAACTTTGTTTCAGTCAACGAAAATGAATAAATTATTCAGGAAGCTGTACATCTTGGGTCGACCAATGAAATTGAAAAAAGTGATGATCAATGCCCCCCATTAAGTTCAAGCTCGTAATTTGTTTTTCTAGTTGAAATTTAGCACCATGATGCAGCTAAAAACTATGTCTACAACTATAGCCACCACCACACCAACTCTAACAGGAGTACCTGGAAAATTATTGGATTTCTAGCCTCCCAAATCTGATAATAACAGAGAAAACCAGCGTGTCAAATTATTGCTTAGAAGTGACTGAAACACAGTGTGGACACAACCAATGCTATTGAAATTCTGACGTGATAAAATGTGTTGTTTTGCAGTGCCTTCATTGGAAATTTCCTCCTGTAGAAGCTGGTGAAATCCCTGGTGAGATAATTTTTGGTGGTAGATGCATTACACTTAACCCTGGGAGGAGAGAAGTTAAGCTTCAACTGATCAAAACTGGAGACAAGCTGATCCAGGTGATGGCGTCAGCATATCATCCCACTCCTAGATAATTCTGTGAATGATGTGACCAAATCTATCGTTCAAGATCATGTATTCATTACGATATTCTTTCTAGATGAAGAAATGTTGCTAGAGTGTTGTGATGACACTTTTAAGTTAAAGAAGAGATATTGGACAAAGTTGGTGGTTCTTGAATTTGCATGTTGGAAGCCCCTGTCATTTTGTTGAGGCAAACGCATACCTGAATTTTGATAGGAAAGTACATGCAATGCGGTTGAATATACCAGCAGGACCAGCAGGAATAGCTACTAGTTTTGATGCTAAACCTTTTGACTCTAATAAATTTGAAATTGTAGTTCTGACATATTGTTTGAAGATACGGCATGAGACTCAACAAGGACATATGTTTAATCTTTAATATAAGTAAGCCCCATGGTTGATGACTACGAAGCAAGGTCCAGTAGGTAAAGCACTTCACTTGTAACCAAGAGATCATCAGTTAGAGTCATCAAGGGTCACCTGTTGCCACTACAGAAAATTCTAAAACTATTATGAAAAAAAAAAAGTTTTCTATTTGAGGGGTTGTTTGTGTTGGGGTTTCTAAGAATAGGTAGTTCGCATTTGCCGAATGCGAGCTCACGTGGCCGAACCCAATAACATTTTAAATGGCCCAGTGGATCAACGTGGCAAAAGAGTACGGCAGGACAGGGGGGCCCACAGTGCGCTTGCATTCGACAAATGCGAACTACCTATTCTTAGAAACCCCAACACAAACAACCCCTCAAATACTGAGCCTGCATTCAGCAAATGCGATTTATTATTGAATTTCTGATTCTGCAAAAATCTAAAAAAAAAAAAATTTTGCTTCAGACCTCGCATTTGACAAATGCGAGGTCAGGCAACCTTCCCCACTCACCACAGCTGCCTGCCTTCACTCCTCTATTTCCTCTCGATTCCCTTCTTAAAGCCGTCTATTTCTGCTACTGAAATTTATACCCGCCATTAAAATTCCAATTTATTAGTATTAATTACTTACCATTTGAATATCCTCCAAGTCGAACTACTAGCATTTTTTTTAAACCAAAAAAAAAAAAGTAGAACGAAGGAGCTAAATTTGCAGAAAATGAGAAGAACAACAACAATGGTGTTGTTCCTGTTCATAATTGTTTTTCTTTCCGCCGCTTTGGCGTCGTTCACTGCCAATGTTACGTTGGATCACCGTGCTTTAGTGATCGATGGCAAACGGAAAGTTCTGATCTCCGATGCCATCCATTATCCTCGCAGCATTTGGCATTTGGCAAAAGTGAGCTCGCATTTGGCAAATGTGAACATCACTTAGACAGAATGCTACATTCAAAAAGCCCCATTTGTAGAAAAATTTTAAATTTCATCATAAATTTAGAAATTTCTCGTTACCACTATCGATCCTCTTTAAAGTTAGGGAAAAAAAAAGTCCCCTGATTAATATCTAGTCTGCATAAAAGTGGTAAATTCAGTGTAAGACTGTAAGGAACTCCAGTTGTTCTTTAAAGCTACCTTAAAATCGACTTTCTGTGAGTGAATTCAAATTAGTGGTTGTTGACATACAGTGAGACCTACCTCTGCTGCTAAGCAAGAATTATTTGCTTCATTTCTCAACCAGACGCATGATCGAAGAGCAGTTAACTTCATTATGCATCAATGCCAGCAATTAAAATGATCTGCTTTCTTGCTTATTCAAAATGATGAAGTCCTTGTCCCTATCCAGGATTTATTTGGACTGGTTACTTTGACCCAATGATGTATATAATGCATGGTCTGAGTTCTCTAAAGACATATATTATGGTTTATATTTAATACAAAAAAATAAACATTTGTATAGACAGAAGAAAAAGAAACACAGAATGCATGTACAGATATCATGCGGTAAGAGATCAGTTGTGAACAAAAGAAATTCGACAAATACTCACAATGCACAATTTATAGCTGAACAGAATAGCAAGTTTACCACAAACCAAAGTAGCAAAGTCAAAAGCAAGACAAGATCACATGTTAAATTGTCCAATATGTGTTAAGAGCAATCAACTGCTACAGTTCCAATTTGAAAAGTCAGTCATAATTTAAATGAATATCTTGTTGAAAAAACATTAACTAAACAGTAAAGCACCACTAAACCTTACAATAAAAAATCTTCTGCAAAAAAAATACTCAAAGTAAAAGGAGGAATAAGAGAATCTCATGTTTAGTCATCTTCAAGCAATTTGGCATTCAAGAGTTTCTTCTTTATTTCCTTTCTTCTCTGTTTCCTTTTCCCCGTACTCTGACCAAGTTTCTTCAGCGGAATTGGAAATTGCTGGCGTGGGTGTGATCCATACCGGTGGTGGCATTATTTTGTCCATAAGATTCGGCACATAATGGCTTTCGATGCTTTCATCCTTCAAGTTAAAGATCGCCATGTCTCGAGGCCCGTAGCGGTAAAAGTTTTCAATATAGTCATCGGTGAAGTATATCAAGTTTGGCCGACATCCTGGGAATTCAGAAGCTAAAACGGACATGGAATGATTGTCACCCAAGAACAAGGCATCACCACCTAAGTTCTTCACCCTTTTCAGCCTTGAATATTCCTTTCCCTTTAACCTTATAAACTTTGAACTTTGAGGTCAAGCCTAACATTTCACCATCTAATGACCGAAATCATCTTAAAACCAACAATTTCCCACCCGAAGATTCAACCAAGTTTGTTTTAACTTCAAGCAAATCTGCTCTTACTCTGTTGTCTAAAACCCCTGGTCCAAAGCTTTTTGTTCGTTGTTTCCTCACGGAACTGGTTCTGTTGGTTCTAGACCAAAATAAATCATATAAGTCACAATAATTTCTCTAATAAAATTTAACAAATAAATTAACAAAAATTCATACCTTAATCTTGCTTTAAAAATGCAAATAATTTGTACCATAAAAATGTTGATTTGGCATGGGTTGAGGCGCGGACTAGGTCGCTCTCTTTAAGACGATTCGCGCCCCTACGGAGTATCCTCCGGTGTAGTAGGTCTCAACACGTCGTCTCCAGGATACAACAGCCCAGCCTTTTACACACTGTAGTCTACTCCAATCTACACTATTGGAGTAAGACAGAAACCTCACACTAACACTGTTCTTTGCCCTATAAACTCTTATAGTAGTGGAGGAAAAATAGAAGGTAGTATAGAGATAGCAAAGTATATATTTGGTTTGGTTGATAGATGCCTTATATATAGGCTAAGAAATTAGGAATATTAGAATTCCAACATTAATAGGAATTAACACCTCATATTTCAGTTACAAATTGAAAAGTCTAGATTCATTGTATAACGGTAAAAAATTACTAAATGAATTCATAAAACCTAATCATTACATAAGTTACAAAAACAAGACATAAATCTGATAAGTTACACATTTAAATGTTTCAATTTGTAACTGAAAATTTATTTAATGAATTTGTAATTTATTTAATTTGAATTCAAAATAAATATGTGATATTTTTTATTAAAATATCCAACAGGTTCTATCGATAGAAGCCTTGCCTGAGTATCATTGCTAATTCTGTTATGATAGTTCACGCAACGGATAATTCCCTTATGATATATAACATCTGAGACAACAAATTCTTTTGAGGCAACGAAATCTTCTATTGTGATTTTCCAATAATCAAGTTCAATAAAACTCCAAGACTTCTCATAACCAGCTTTGATGAATGCTAATTGGTGCATATCACCATATATGACAGCTACCTCATATTCTGGATTTGTAATTGGATTGGCTAACAAAACCACCTTTTTTACAAAATACTCAGCATCGTAATCAGGGGTTTTTAGGACGAGACGAGGTAGATCAATTCGTGCACCGGTGAAAGGATTGAAAAGAGTGATGGAAAGATCATCCATGGCAAACGCTAACCATCCACGGGAAGAACCACAACATCTTCTGTGGAGGGGCACTGATAATTCCACGTCGTAATTGGCTTTGCCATGACTTAAGTTGTACAAGGTACGGGTTTTGCCACTACCCTTTATTGTTGGAATCATCAGGAGGGGGAGTTGATTATTTGCAGAAGTTTCAATATGTAACTTTTCCATGTTTGGATCTGCTGCTACGGCGCACCAATGCTTGCAGACGGCACTGAAGCGGACGTAATCGATGAGGGAAACCAACTTCTTAAGAATTGAATCCAGGAGGAGGTCTGTGAGGGATCCCCAATTCGATGTTTTCTCCATGGCTAACTGCTTCAGGATTTCGTAAACTGCTTCGGTTGAAGAGAAGGAAGAAAGAAAGAAAAGAAAAGAAAAGAAAAAGGGGAACTACTAAAGAAAAAGACACTGCTGTATGTGATGAAACCGTTTTATATGGAGTAGTTCTTACCTTTTGGCTTATGTGGAAAAGGAAACCAAATCCCTACTTGTTTCTAGTTTCCTCACGCTTTTTAGGATTAAAATTGAAATTTTGATCCTTTTAGAAAAATGCTCTAATATTCGGGAGTCAAACCTTCCTCGTCAGTGCCATGTCTCGTCTCTAGCCCTTGCTTAAAATTAAGCATTAGCTCAAGTTTTCATGGTCTGATCTTATTCCAATATTTCTGGAGAAATTTGGCTGCTTCCAACTTCCCAATTCTTTTTTCTCCGTTGAGACAGAGGAGGTATTGTGATTTTTATCTGGTATTGTCGGTGCTCAATACATGGGCGAGGGCCGGTGACAAAGTTTGTAGAGTAATTTTCTTTAAAAAAAAAATTTGCTGGTTACATTAAAAAAATTTTATCATTAAGTGCCATATTTATTGAATTCTAATATAAAATAACAAAACTATTTCGACATAAATACCGATTTTCTTCTTTAATATTTTTCCATCACCTACTTGAAAAGATTCAATTATCACAGAAGTTAAATTCGTGCAAATACTGCATAGACTTCAATGAATTACATATACTAGAATCTCATTATGGATAGTTAACATATATTGTCTCTATGTTAGATAAAAAATAAATCCATAGATAAAATTATAAAATGGTATTCAACAGAGAACAAAAGTAGTAATAATATCCAAAAAATTAAACAAATATAAATACACATATTGAGTTGTTAATTAACCTGTATGACTTGTGGGAAAAAAAAATCCCAGGATAAAATACTTGTTGATTTTGTATGACTTCATTGCACATTTCTAAGAATCGTTATATATAGTTTGTTGGAAATGTTTTACGAGATTTGAGTATGGTTATTCTTCTTCTGGAGGTAGAGATGTACTATAAGATTTTTTAACAAATCATAACTTTATGTATAGCTTAACACTTTAACTAAAATAAATTTCTTACAAGTTTTAAAATTTTGGGATAAGTATCTGTAAGTTTAAAGTCAATTAATTCATTTTTAACTTTTTTTCCCTGTAAATTAGAAAGGAATTGATAGTTCCTTTGTTTCATGTTTCCACTATTTAGTTGTTCCTTAATTGTTTCCTAAAAACTAAAAACGAATTCACGCATCACAGGTACTTATTGTTTAGTTGTTCTATAATTTTTATTTCTCTAGAAATTAGGAATAGATTCAAAAGCTTCATAACATACGCATATGGAAACTTGAGAGATACTTTTATATAGGTGTTTATTGTTTAGTCATTCCATAAATTTCTCTTAGAAATTAGGAATAGATTTATAATAAAAAGATACACACGTATAGATAGGTGACTCCTACATTGTCTCTCCTCTAGGCTAATAGACGCTGGTGGGCCATTATACTTTTGTTTCACTTGTTTGCCCCCTCATCCCTTACATTTCAAGAAAGGCAAGTTGTGAAATTTACACAAAATTTTGCACTATATTAAGGACATTTTTTGAAAGTTGAGGGGGAACCATCTTTTTTTTTTTTTTTTTTTTTAGTATAAGTGGGAAGTTTCATATCTAGAATCTCTCACTTACGCTTTCTCTCTCCATACCATCCCACCCATGCCTCTTTTCTGAGGGGATCAATTGTCCACTCTCAACACTGGATAGTCCCATCTTTGGCTCAATACTATGCATCATAACCTTTTTTTATTGCATCACAATTTTTTTTATTGTGTCATATTTTTTGAATAGTTTTTCCGTACTTGTGCTGTGTGGTATTTTTGTGTTTGTTATGCTGGATCATAACTTAATTGAAAAAAAAATAATGTCTTCTTCCGCTTATGTCAACAAATTGGATAATTTCAGATTTTTTCACATTGAAAACTTGTAAATTGTTTTTCTTGATTGTGTTGAGTTCTTCTTTTCTCTTTAAGGGCCTTAATTTCATGCAATTCAAATGTTGAAATTGAAATGAATATGGAAATTGGGGATTTTTTGTACTCATATAGATTTCCGTCTCAAGCTTCATAAGTCCGGTGTGCAATTCACGAATCGTGTAAAATTTTCAATTAATGTATATAAGTTTGGTCATGAATAAGAACCAGTAAAACTTGTCCCGCATTTGTGCTGCTGTTGGTTCTATGTAATAGTGATTGAGGAGTTGCTTCGATTTTCTTACTATGTATAAAGCGGGAGGGAGAAATTTGGTGTAAACAAAGTGTGTGAGTTAATGCATTGTTTAATCTACCCTTACTTCTATTGAGACACCAAATTGTATCATTTCATGCATTGCCTATTCTACCCTTACTTCTACAGAGAGCTACAGCATTTTAATGACTCACCTTCCTATTAGGGGTGGGCAAAAAATCCGATCCGATCCGAAACCCGACCAACCCGATCCGATCCGATCCGAAAAATAGGATATCCGATCCGATTTTTCTTGGCGGGGCAGATGCGGGTCTGGTACCCGCAAAAACGGATACGGATACGGATCAGCAAAATAAAAACCCGCGGGTACCCGACCCGCAGGGTATATTATATAAATATTAAAAAAATAAGGGTTCATTATAAAATTTTATAATTTTTAATCCTAAGTGTAAGTAAAGTAGTTCACAACCTCATATTTTAATCTCATATGATCTGCATCTTCTTATCTTGTCTAAAAAAAGTGAATATTCTTGGTGAAACCTGAACCAAATGAATAAAACAAAGAAAAATTTGTGAAACTCTATCATAAAAATTGTTCATCCCTTTCATCCTTTTTCATTTTTATTCTACTTCCATCGATCTTTTCTGTAAATTTTTTATCAATTCAATCAAAAATTTGTGTTTGGAGCTCCAATTTTCTGTTAGCTAGATAATTAAAACATTTGTGTCTTTCATTTATTTATTTATTTTATTACAATTGTGTCTCTTAAATTTGTTTCCTTTATTTTAGTGCAAGAAATTTAATTTTCTTTTTCATCACCTTTAATGCAACAAGGTCTATTCCAAAGATGTAAGAAAGTTGGGGAAAATTTTTCAAGATTATTTTGGTTATATTTTCTTCAAAAATTATTAGCTCTGCTCAATTCTTTTGCGGACTTGATTTCACAATCGACTCATTTTGGATACAATCTTGTACCATAATATCCTTAAGGAAGTTGGAAAAGTTGCCATATATTTATTATTTTTGTGTTTGTTATGTTGTAAAAGGATGAAATGCGTGAGAATGGTGATGTATTCAAAATTATCATAAAACTTCGTTTTATCCTTGTGTTTGTTATATTTGGAAAAGTTGGAAAAGTTGCCATATACTTATTATTCTCGTGTTTGTTATGTTATAGAAGGATGAAATGCGTGAGAATGGTGATGCACTCAAAATTATCATAAAATTTCGTTTTATCTATTAGATATTATAATTCTAATATGTACTAAATTTATGAAATCGGTTTGATTATTGGATGAAATGTGTGAGAATGGTGATGCATGGATTTTGATTATAATATCTCTACCAATGTTAATTGGAAAGCATACTTTTTTTTTATTGGAAAACATGTTGATATTAAGTGAAAAACATTTTTTTATTGGAAAATAGTTTTTTTTTTTAGGGGCGGGTACCCTATGACCCGCCCCTTTTTTTTGGGTACCCGAATAGCGGGTACCCGAAAACATTAGGAGCGGGTTAGGGTCGTAAAATGGCTGATCCGATATTTTAGGGTCGGGTCAGCCAAATCTTGTTAGGGGCGGGTACCCGACCCGTGCCCACCCCTACTTCCTATAACTACTCGATATCTGCTAAATTAACTATCACTTAATAAAAACGTGCCACTTTTTAAAAATACTACAAATAGTTTAACTATTTTAAATTACTATTTTTCCACAAAAAAATAATGCTAATCATTTTAAATATATTTTTATTGATGGCATACGCATTGGGCCGGGGTGTCTTAATCACTAGTTGCAATTATTGATCATTAAAGAGCTATAAACAACACAAATTAATAATCTTTAAAAATTGTTATTCAGTTCCTAAAACAGTAAAATTAATTGACATAAAACAAATTTCGAATATGTATCCCCATAAGAGGGCAGGTGAACCTGAAATCAAAATTTTCTTTGGGCTTTGCAGAATTTAATATCAAATCCTGGATTGGTCAGACTCAAAACTTTTTGTAAAGAAGCAGTGTCTATGTGATGGGAATATTCTTGGGCAACCCTTTGGGGAGGCGGACACAGGGGACAGTAGGGGCAGTCGTCCCCTAAAAGTTTTAAAATTTTTAAAATTCTCTGTATAATTTAAGTTGTCAACTAAAATTATATTACTTTGGCCTCTTTCTAAACATAATAATCAATAGTACTTTTTTAATTGTGTTTAATTTCTTTTGATAAAGTGTCCTACAGCAAACTAATAATTATTTTCCTTATAAAAGTATACCATTAGTATCTACATTACCATACATTTAATATTTGAATAACAATTACAAAAATATTAAGTTTTCTTGTAACTAAATCTCTTATAATAAATAACTTTTAGTTTCTTTGATTAGTATAACTTTAAAATAGCAACTAAAGTAACATTGTATATATTTCATAGGAAGTCAAAGACAAAGAAAACAAAAAAAAAAATTCAAATTGTCATACAAATTGAAGAAGTTTCAACCATGATTTTGAATGCGCTACATTGATAGTAAATTGAATGGCATAAAGTCTAATTTTAACATTTTATATATTTTATATTTATTTTTTAAAAATTTCTTATTCCCAATGATAGTCTATTGAAGTTTCATTTTACATTTAATATGCTTTATATGCTATAGATGTCTTGCTATCATATCATTGATGATTCACCCCCCTTAAACTAAATTCCTGAGTCCGTCACTGCCCTTTGGATGCTTTACCACCCAATTATACTGGTTTTTGTTAATGCAAGTACTTTTGGATTTTAGTTCTTTTTCTTTGTGATATGATATATAGATGCAATTTAGTTTCTGAGTGCTATACA